TCTGCATGGAGGAGTACAAGTCCTACTAGGATTGTGCCACGGGAAACTTATAAAAGCTCACAATCATCACCTTGGAGGAGGTAATTGAACACAATCTTTTTGAGAACTTAGAGCTTTGTCTATTTGTCAAGTTTTCTGACTTAGGCATCGGAGAGGTTTCCGGCACACACCCGCCGGCTAGCTCACGTTTGTGTTTTCAGGTGATAAAGCGACGTCGTACGGAGGAGCGTGGACTTGGTCAACAGGATTATACGAGGAGAATTATTTCCTCCCCGTATAATATTAAAATTTTATTTCAATTAATAATTCAGATAATTTTATTATTGTATAGGTGAATAGTTAGAAATTTCACTTTTTCAATTAATGCTGTTAAATAAAAAATTCTGACACGGAGGCATTTGTAATTTTTCAAATCTTGGGGGACAATTCATATTTTAAGCAAATTTTAAAAGATGTGTTTGTAATTTATCCAAAAAAATATCATCACATATGACTTTAAATTTGGGAGGAAAAAAAAGGAAAATATACGAGTATTTTTAAAAAATAGATTTTTTAGTTGTATTACATTCATTTTTTTTTTAAACTTTTTATTTTTTTTATTTTTAAATTTTATTCAAATTGCTGATCTAAACATAATTTTTATGGGTCTATTTGGAATTAAAAGGGAGAATTACCAGTGGTATTTAAAAAAATTATTTACAAAAAAAAAAAAATATTATAAATATTAATAATTAAAATCATAAACTTTTTAATTAATATGTAATGATTTTTGAAAGCCCCACCTGAACAGTAATTTCCTCTAAATAAAAGCAGAAACTAAAATGCACATATTCCTTAACTTCTAAATAATAAATTTTTAAAACTTATTTAAATTATTTATATCTAATAAATTGTAAAGAAAACAATATAAAATAGTCTAACACAAATTTTAAAAAATATAAACAGTTTAAATAAACTGTACCAAACAAAAATGTGTCACCTCACTCTCACTTTCATTAGTGACAAATATTAGTCCAAAACCTTCTCTATCTCTACACTACACCTGTGCATAACAACGCCTACTGACACGTGAAAGCGTCATAACAAAAAACAAACCAAATCAATTAAATTATCTACTAATTCTATTTGGTTTGAAAATTTTAAAAATAATTTTTTGAATTTTTAATTCACGTATATATATTTTTAATTTTTAGTGATGTTTTTAATATTTTAATATATATATTTTAAATCTACTTAATCTAGATGTACTTAAAAATTATGAAATTTATGTAAAAATCTTTCAAAAATTTATTAAATACAAAAAAATATAAAAATTAGGTATATTTTCGTATTTTTATACTCTCATTGAATTTTTTAAAAGATTTTTGTACAAATTATATATTTTTTAAGTGTAGCTAAATTAAGTAGATCTAAAAAGTTTTAAAAAATGGTTAAAAACATTCAATAAAAATAAAAAAATACAGATTGAAAATTTAAAAAATTATTTTTGAAAATTCCAAACCAAACAGAGTTTGGTAATTACTTTTTAGCAATATTTTTATTAATATTATCATTTTTAGTAAAAATATTATTTTTTTTTTAAATTCAAATTTTAGATCCTATTAGATTAGAAGACACTAGATTTTTTTTAAAATATTTTTCTTTTGAAAAAGTCCACTAAAGATGGAAAAAAAAAAGCTAAAGAAATTGATTTTTTTTAATAGATCTTTTCAGGTCTTTCTAAGCTAAAAGATCAAAACGGTAAATTTTTTTAGGTAAATTCCAAACCAAACCAAACCAAACCAAATCAAGCCTTAAGTCCCATTAAATGGGGTCGGTTATATGAATCTTTCGTCTCCACGCGGCCCTATCAAAGGCCATTTCATTAGTCAAATTAAGTAGATTCATATCTCTATTTAAAACGTTAGTCAACGTTAATCTAGGCCTACCCTGTCCCCTAACACTTCCATCTACCGTTACAGTATCGCATCTTTTCACTACTGCCTCTGTTAGTCTCCGTTGAATATGACCACACCATCTCAAACGATTCTCTCTCAACTTATCTTCTATCGGTTCTACTCCTACTCATTCCCGAATACACTCATTCCTAAATTCCAAAACTATTAATTAAAAAAAATGTCCAAATATACTTTTTTTGACTTCTATAATTGGGTACCCAAACAAAGCATAAGTGTACAACTAGTACCTGCCAAATTTGAAGGCAAGAGTACAAAATAGGGAGTGCTATTGCATTCTTTTAGAATAATGTTATTAGAAACATTTTATTCAGCCTAATCAATACTTCTTGGCTACATTTGCCAAATCCAATGCTCACCTCATCAAATTTGTGGCTATTATTGATGTGTTGTGGGTTCTACGTTTACCAAGCAAAAACTTTATGATACTAGTAAATTATTCAAAAAATTGTCATGAATTTCTGATCAACTGTGTATATTGAAAATTATTGTTATTGGATTACATTCTGAGTAAATTTTCACCATTGATTTGAATTTTTTTAAAGAAAAATCTGTTTTTTTGTCTTCTTTACCAAATCGAGAACACCCATTGCTTTTAGTTTTTTTGCAATAACCACGGCTGGAAATTAAGCTTTTAGTGGCGTTTAAAAAACGCCGCTATAACTATAAAAAACGCCGCTAATTGTTTTTGTGACGTTTAATACCAAACGCCGAAAGATGCGGCCGTCGCTATAACTTTATGACGCTTTAAAAGCGTCGCTATATCAGTATAGGCGGCGTTTTAAAAAACGCCGCTAAATGTGCTGCATAATGATATAATGATGTCACTCCAGATTTAGCGACGTTTTAAAAACGCCGTGATAGGTCATTTATTTAAAAACACCGTTATAACTTCATTTTTTTAAACAAAATAATAATAAATTGTGCTAATTCTGTGAGATTTAAACCAAAAAAATACCTTTTATAAAGATGAAAAATATACAATATATTGACTAAATTTAGGTAAACATAATAGTAGATCAATTCATGCTTCTCAATACGCAAAAATATTTCAATTCCAAAATGAAATAAAGTTAAACTAGTACCTAGTGGTAAGTTGAAAGTTATTACAAAACAAATCCGCACAAAAAATGCAATTCAAACTAATTATACATACAAGTACTATGAAAGCATCTACTAAGAAACAAAAATTCCCGGGTTCTATAAGGAAGATGATGGTCCTTTGTTCACATCTCAGCATTGTTGACACATCTTGTGCTGTCACCTGCCAAGCATTCACCAAAATAGGTGTTAACAAGGACAAATTTAGAGCAGTGAATCCCATTACTGCAATCCCTTAAGTTTATAATCCTTCATATTGTGCATGCTAGGTGACATAAGATAAAGATATACAAACATCGACGTAGGAAGTATATCAAATACAGTATTCATAAGATTAGGAGAATTTACAAAAATCAAAACTATATTAAATGACTTTTGGATCTAATATTAAATTTTGGATTCTATACTTTCCCTCGTGTGAATGAATATATAAATCTCAACAATGCTAAATTAATCAATTACTGCGTGAGGTTTAGTTTACATTTCCCAACCATTTTCATGTATTTCTAATTTCTTTTTGTTGTTCTTGTTTCCCTTATCTTTATTAAATGTTTCTGGTACATTTAAGAAATGTTTCCACAACCCTAATCAAAACAATAAACAGCCTTTCAGAAACTAGTTTGATGAAATGATATGATTGTGTAGAAGAAGATTTGTCAATAATGCTATGACAGACAAATAGTCATTTCAAGGATATTTCTCAGTGCTTGAATGCTTATCAAGAATGCCCCATAATCAAGTAAATGGCATTAATAGCTATCTTACCTCAAGTATTCCATGTCCAAAACTACTCTCCCTAAATGCACTCCACTCTGGTTGTCTGTCCCAACAAAATTTTCCTTTTGCAGGGCCAGGCGAGAAATTCAAATGGCATACCCCTCCAATTTCTAGTAAGTATTCTGTGGTGGACATTTGTCATCTGCATGATCAACATCAGCTGTTTCTATGTTTCCACCATCTCCAACTGTTATGTAAATAGGACCACATGGGTCAAGTGTATAATTGTAGACTCTATTCATCCGCTCATAGGCAGGCACCTGAAATGAAGATAATATGTCACTTTGTCTGATAAAGAAAGAAAAGAGCTTTGGAAATGGTAAGTGAAGGATTATTCCTTTCTATTTCAGGATGACTTCGGCATTCTGCTAGAGTTCTAAAAATAATGAAATTTGGTGGAAAATCATTTGCAGTTTGTGTTTTTTATATTCTCTCTCTCTCTCTCTCTCTGTAGTCAAAATTTCCCCCCTCAAGTTGCCAACCCCTATCTGTGCTAATACAAAACTCCAAACAAAACTAATGGCTTTATAGACTAATTTGATGGACGAGTAATGGAGCAAACCTGTAGTATGTACATCAGAATCTGATCTACTGAACCAGAAAATGTTCTCAGTCCATGACAGAATCACCAAGGTTTTCCTCTTCCATTATCTCTTCACTATCTACTTTAGCGGCAAGTGGCCCTTGTGGGTTTCCAAAAATGGTAGTGAAAATCTGTCTATGGCATTCGTCACAGAAATAATAATAGGTGAAATGGCCGTCGTAAAGGAGCTTATGCACCATCGCCCCTGGTAGAAGCTGCTGCACAAAATCTGTCATTGAGGGTGGGACAACTCTGTCATTCATACCCTGTTCAGTACAAGAAAATTCAGAGGAAGGGGAAAAAAAAGGTCAGCATAAGTGAATCTATATGATTTAGATTGGTAATCCTTCTGAAAAACAAGTGCAACACAAATAATACAAAATCATGCTCCTCCTAATTCCAAAGTGACTATTGCAGACCATTTCATAATATAGCACCGACTACAGTTGTCAGACTCACTTTTGGAAACTTAAATGAATGCTTTCAGCCAAATACTCTACAAATATTAAATTGCCAATGTGTTGAAATAAGATAGCCGCAGATGAAGCGGACATCTTACAGCTTGTCTGCCAAGAGAGTAAACTTTATTGACCCCTTATGTTCTTGAAATAATGTCTGATGATAGTGAGACTATTTTGAAACCAAGTCGAAAAGTTATTTTGACCTTAAAGTCATAAGACATGTAGATAATAATCTACAAAAATGGGATACATATTTGAGATTTACTTAGCATGCACACAAAACACAACAGGCACAAATCCAATGGTAAACGTGCAATTAAAAATATAGCAAATGAAAAACTGTCAGTAACAAATTACCTGGCAACATAGAAAACTAAACCTTGATTAAATACAATGATATAAAATAAATTTAAACAAATCAAAGTTTTGGCAGTACCAATCCTGACGCATTCTGCAAAAACAAAAACCTCTCCCAGCTGGATTTGGATGTTGCTAAATCATAGGCATCACCCCAAGATGCCAAACCATCACAATTGCTGAGTTCCCAACTTAAATGGAGAACAGATGAGTTTCCAAAAGCTTTTCCAGAATCACTTATACCTACCCACTGAAGATACTCGAACAGTGCGCCCATTTGCTACAGAGATAGGAGTAGCACGCACTCGCCCTATACCACGGTCGGCTTGAATTGCACTCCAAATAACATCAAGTTTATTCGCTAAAAGCATGGAATAAATTTATTCAAATAAGAGAACAATTAATTCCAACAAATTAAAATAAGATTCATATCATTGATTTGAAAGACAGTAAGATTAAAAGAATATGCCTGCATCCATATTGATGAAAGGGTATCATCCTCATACCAGGTTCATCAGCTATTAGTACAATAGTGGAAGGAAAGCTGCATCTAAGCGACAGTCCCACTTCTGCTACAGCAGGCAGAGGATGGTCATCTCCAACCAAGTTTCCACGTTTGAAAACAATTCTTTGGGTTATTACATATTTGAAACAAAAGAAAAACATCCAATCACATTGTTGAGTTGGTGTAGGCCACCTAATAGGTTTGCCATTTTTGAGTAGAAGAAATACAATCACATAAGGATTGTTATATTTTGAGAGTAAATCCAATGATATGTGCAGCATCCATATGAATTGAAGGTGTAAAAAGCACAAGAATTAATCAAATCATTCATTAATGCATTTCAATTTCTTATAATTATCTCAAATAATATGTGGAACTTACTTTGTTACGGACACTGCAGAATCCACTGAACTGCAGTGTTGCTCCCAACAGAGAGTCTATGACACTTCCACAAAGCCCCGCCAAAGCAGAAATAGGTATTACTAGTAGCTGCTTCAGAGCCACGTCATAAGCGCATCTTGTTGTGAAAAAGCCTATGAGAACGAATGTCAGTCCAATGATGCTGCCTGCCACAGCAGCTGCTAGGAGTCCTGCTTTTGTCACACCACCATTTGTACCCCGCCGAACTGGCTGATAAGAAGGAAGAAAACAAATCGAATCCACACACATGGCATTGAGCTTGCAAGTGAAATACCAAAATGGATGATTAGTTAATTGTTTTAAGAATAAACGAAAAGGTAAAGAGAGAAGCTCTGGACAAAATGGGAAGAGGTTAAGAGGGTGAATGCAAGAGAGTTAGTAAAACATTATGAGAGGCAACTTTTCAAAAAAGAAGAAGAAGAAGAAGAAGAAGAAGAAATTATGAGATGCCATTCAGCAGTAGTAGGATTTTTGAAAAGGTATTTATGCAGTATGCAACAAACATAATGGAAAACTCATAGAAGGTACAAACATCCTTCTCTCAATTACATGTATTATGCATAGGTTACATAAACACAAGATTTTGAGCAAATAAATAATTATATTATTTAAGTGCAATCATTGTTGATATCAAGCCTATCCTTTCTTGAGGAGGGTGATTGACTGAATTGAATTATTGAATTAGGGAGTTCACATCCATTATTGATATCAGATAATGCGAGAAATAAGAAAGTACTATGTCTATGACATGGATAGTTTAATGGTTTTAGTTGAACTTACAACTTATTCAACGACATGGAATGCAATTGCTGATAAAATAAAAATGGTTGAGGCCTCACAGTTTCAAGAGTTAGTAGACTTTTATTAATATAGGATCCTTCCTTTCGACGCACACTGGTAGTTTCAGCCTTGGAGCTCTCAGAACCTGCCAGATCGATGAGGTTCTGCAGAAGTAAAACACAGAGAGGCCAAATTAAGAAAACAATGTTGGCATCACATAAAAGCCTAAAGTAGTTACTTATCCATAAGGAAATAAAATCCGAAAGCAGTTGGCACAAAATAATTCTAAAATTAAAAGCCACAGAAATATACCAGTTATGACAAGTTTACCGCTCCACCTTCACAATTATCACCACAAGGTCTACCCTCTATTGTCTGTCAAATATGTAACAAAGGAAAAATTGATCAGCAGAGAAAATAATTATAAAAAATAAAAATAAAAAAGCAAAAAAGCAAATAGTATTTGACACAGGATAAGAATATTCAATCAAGACTTTTGCCTAGTTTGATCCAAGCTAAATTTTCTCAAGACCTCATTTCAACATTCTACATTGAAGAACTTGCTTGCAAAAAAACCTTTGTGGGACCAATTTTATGACATATTGAATTTCCTAACCTAGAAAAAATGGTTTTCAAGAAAAAAGAAATATGGATTTTGTGACAAATTTGTCAATCAAAATAGAAAGTACTCTTCTTAACCTATTAAATGAGACATGCATTGAACAATTACACTTCATCCCCAACAAGTGAGATATTCTTCCAAATGGGCCACTGAATTCTTGAAAGTTAGCCGAACTAAGTGATAAATGTCCAAGTCACTCGAGAATGAGTAAGATCAAATCATTATATGAATAAATTTGGATAAAATAAAAGTAGAATCAATCAACATATACTTTCATATGCTCATGTGTGTGTCTGACCATTGCTTGTGTCATAAAGAAATATTTACATGCATATTTTTAACAAATTTAACTTAAACATACCATATAATCTGAAAGCAATAATATAAGTTAGTTAATAGCTAGAAGAAAAGCGCTGAAATGTAATGATCAATAAATATATCAAAAAATAAAAAATAAAAATAAAAATAAAAGGAAGAAGTTATACAAAACAGCATACCAGTGTAAATATTGTATGGCTTCTGCTACTCAGTAAATTGAAATTTGTGGAACCAACATGTCTGTGCTCTGTTACCATCAACTAAAATCTTATCATAAAGTTTAAAAAGAACTTAAGTAATGGTAATAAAAAAATTACTGCAATCACACCCATAACTAAAAATGCTAGCAATGTAAAGAACATTTAATCAAAAAAAATAACTCCTCAAAATAATTAAAATATTTTCTTTTTGTAGTTTACAGCATGCTAAATCAATCCTCAAAAATAGTTTATTATGCGACAAGCATTCAAAGCACACTATTTCAGATAGTGAATAAAAGTTCTTTACATATATTCATATATATATAAATCAACCAGCTTCACTTGGATCCATTTCTTCCCCTCTAGGAAAGAAGAAAAGTTCTTTCTTTTTCCATTTTCTAGATCAAAAAGTTCGAGAACTGCTTGGACCAATAGTTTACTTCAAAATATGCTTAGCTAGAGTTGGACGAGTGGCAAGAAATGAAGGTAAATTAAGATATAGATGAATAGAGATGGCCAGATATGCACAAAATAAAGTTAAATAGGCTTCGGGACATCTTCAACAAGCTACTAAGACCAGCAGAAAAGCAAAAAAAGTGTGAGATGATGTGGTAACATTACAATGACATGGGTTGAACTTTATATGTAACATTCAAACTTGAGTCAAATAGTAGTAATTCAGTCGGAAATACATCAAGTCAAGCTGGACTGAACCTTGCCCTTGATCCCTTCCAAACTTGGAGTTAAATAATTTATGCACAATACAGTGACATGTTTCATCCTTATAGCAGTAAATTCAAAAGAATATATTCGAAAGATTATTTTGCATTGTTCTTTTTCCTTTGGGTTCTTCTCAAATAATGGCTTCAGAAATGAACTCTACCATGTTTCTTCTGATCTTTCTACAGCATATGCAAACAACATCTCATCTGATCTTTGTTGATTTGGTAGACTGCTAAGTCTTGCATGTCGACAGAGTAGGGAGTACAATGCAAAGGTACCACCTGAACTATGAATGCAAATTTGACACAGGAAAAAGAAAAAAATAAGAAGAAAAATTAGAAAAATGTGTAGTTATGTGCAGATTTGCTAAAATGAAATGAAAGTGATCTCAAAGGAAACGTTAAAAATGGTAAATTTTTGTCGAATCTTCTCTCAAAACGATGAAAATAAGCACTTTTGATTATCATTTTGAACTGCTAGGAGCCAAATCAACCATATCCTTCTCATTTCTGTTTGTAAAGTATTACTCGAAGGAAAAATAAATAAAAATCAGCCCAAAAGAACAAAAGAACATCTTGAAATGAGACATAAAAATAAATAAATACTGCCAAACAAGCCCTAATATGTTACTCTGTTCTTTTAGTTCCTTCTCAACACTATATTGTATATTTACCAACAAAAAACAAAGGACAGGCAATGAAACAGAGCATATACAACTCATCAGTGAAAAACAATTACTGAAACAGATCACATACAACTCATCAATCACTAAAATAGAGAGAGAGAGGGGGGGGAGGAAGAGCTTCAGAGAGAGAGAGACGGTGGGGCTCACCTTAGTAGACGATGGCGAAGACCGATCTGAATCTCTGAATCTCTGCAATGAAATCACTAAGATGAAATCGCTCTGAATCTTTGCGATGAAATCATTGAGAGGAATCTCTGAATCGCTCTGATAAAGGTTTAGAGAGGCTTGAGAGAGAGAGATTTAGAGAGAGAGAGAGTAGATTTAGCGATGAAATCACCGAGAGATTTTGAACCTTCGTTGGTGCTCGCTACCTTGCTCTGAGAATGAACAAGCGGTAGAGCTTCGAAATCGCTCAGAGAGAGAGAGAGCGCTCGAGATTTGGGTCTTAACTTAAGTGAGTGTCAGATTCAAAATTAGGTTTTGAAAAGAGGAGGAGACCAGGCGCGTGTGGCACAACACATTTGGAGGCGTTTCCTATTATAAAACGGTACCGTTTTTTAAATAAATATGCGACGTTTTATAAAAACGTCGTTAAATGTTAAAAAGCCTGACGTTTAAAAATGCGTCGTGAAAAAAACGTCGCCTAAATCCCTTTTTCCTGTAGTGTGAGAAACACAAGTTCCCCTTTTGTAATTCAGGAATTTCGAAATTATGTAGAAACCAAATGGTAATGTTTTCGTATTGGGAAATAATTTAAGTCTTTTTTAACCATACAGGATAATAGTTGTAGGAGCATCCACAACTATTTCAGACTAAGATCATAATTGTTAGAAATTGATACACCTAATCAGGATTGGGGAGACATGAAAGACAAACAGGAATAATAAGAAACGATAAATCAAACATACACGAAGAACATAGAGATTTACGTTGTTTACCCCAAAACTAGGGTTACATCCACGGCTGTTGTTGTTTTCACTATAATAAGAGAATTACAAGATGCAAAAATAGCCGCCTCCCCTCAACTCAACTACAAATACATATAGAAATTAGGACAACATGGCACAAGTGCAGAATTACAAAAGTACCGATCAATTGGTTAGTGATTAGTATTTATCAGTATCCACACTACCCCAACAATAACATGGCCATCTTGCTTGTACTCTAGTCTCTAGCATTAGTTTTAACTCTTTCTGGCTGCTTTTGAACTTCGTGGTCCTATAGTTTTGCCCATCGAGAAACGGTATAAGAAAAATAGTCAAGAAACACAAACTTGTGGATCATAGGGCGTGTTAGGAAAAATTTCATGATACTGTAGATCAATGTGCAAGCTGGGATGGAACTAGGCTCCCCACTTCCACAATTATTGTTCCATACAAATTACAATCATGTCAATGAAATGTTCAAGATTTCCAATATTAAAGGATATTTTACCATTGAGGTTGTTGTTTGTCATATTAATCCTTTCTATAGATGAGGCATTGATTAATGAGATCATAAGAGGTTCGGTTACTCCCTAGTCTATAATCTGTCTTATATTATTGTTAGGATTTTGAATGAGAGAAATTTGTTATTAGACTAATTTATGAGAATAATGTATGTTGCATTTTTGTCTCCATCATGGGTAATGTAAGATAAATTGATATAGAGAGAAATTGTATGTATTATGATTGATGTTATTGATTGATGTATGTTATTGTGTATATTACAAGGAAATGTGCACTCTCTTTTATAGAGAGGAAAAGATACATAGGGTGCCAATTAGCACCGAAAGCATAAAGCAAATGGGGAACACTCATTATGAAAGCTAGACATAATGATACACTAACAATTATGACTAACACTACTAGATGTACATAATATACTAAAGATACTAATCACTAATATACAATAATAAACTAACAGCCCCCCTCAAACTCAAGGAGGATAGGTACTAACCAACTTGAGTTTGGACCAACTTGAGTTTGGAGAGAGTAACAAAACAGGAAAGTAAATTGATAAAAGAAAATAAAATAGGATAGGAGACACTGTATGGTCGTGTCGAACCGTTGGTGAAGACACTGTATGGTTGTGTCAGACCGTTGTAGGAGCTAACCGGAATCAATGTCGGGACAGTTTATGGGGTCATGCCGGACCGTTGTAGAAGCTGACCGGAATCAATGTCGGGACAGTTTACGGGGTCATGCCGGACCGATGTAAAAGCTGACCGGAATCAATGTCGGGACAGTTTACGGGGTCATGTCGGACCGATGTAGAAACTGACCGGAATCAATGTCGGGACAATT